CCCCAAAACCCCAAAACCCCAAAACCCCAAAACCCCAAAACCCCAAAACCCCTTAATAATTAGAGCAAAATGAAGCTTATAATTATTAAATAATTTAATATGTATCCTAAGATGAATAGCCAGCCGGTGAATCCAGACGCAACGTCTTTATGGATGGGAGAAATCGAACCATGGATGGACGAGACTCAAATCGCAAATCTTTTCGCACATGTAGCCAAGGTTATGAGTGTTAAGATTATTAAAAACAAAATGACTGGACTCCCAGCAGGGTATGGATTTGTCGAATTTGAAAGTAATGAAGTGGCCAGAAAGGTCAAGGACCAACTCAATGGAACTCCAATTCCAGAACTAAATAAGTAAGCATTTTTATGTAATATTTTAGGACTTTTAGATTAAATTGGGCAACACAATCAACAGGTTTACCCAGGACCTTAACTCAAAACACTCCATCAATGGGACCTGCCCCCTCTGTAGGTGGTGGAGATAATTCAGGAGATTTTTCAGTCTATGTAGGAGATTTGGATCCAAATGTAACTGATTCTATTTTATTAGAACATTTTTCAAACAGTTATAAATCAATTCTAAGTGCTAACGTAATAGTGGATTCAATCACAAAAAGAAGCAAGAAGTTTGGATTTGTTAGATTCAGTAGCCAAGAAGAATCCCAAAGAGCAATTGCTGAGATGAATGGTCAATACCTTTTGACTAGACCAATGAAGCTAAATGTAGGATATAAAAAGAGTACTCAGCAATCTCAGCCTTCTTCATACGGAGGTGGAAATGGAGGAGCAGGACCAAGCTCTTATGGAGGAGGTTACGGTCATGCTCCCCCTCCTTCTTATCCTCCAGCTTACCCTCAATATAATGATCCATATGGTTCTAATAATCAAAGTTATGGATATGGAAGCTATCCTTATAATAATTCTGATCCTTATGGAAGCTCTTCTCAATATGGATACGGAAGTTATGGCTATGGACAACCCTCTACTGGAAGCAATTATTATGGAAGTAGTTCTGGTGGTTATCCCCCAGCTCCAAGTGGAAGCTATGACTATGGACAGACATCAGGATCTTATCCTCAGTACCCTGCAAGCAATGGTTATGGAGATACATCTACCTCAGGGTATCCTCCAAAGGCCTCCCAGAGCAGCTATGGGGCTGATACTAGTACTGGATACCAATCTTATTATAACAATTATCCTCAAACTTCAAGCTATGATTACGGGATCAACTCAGCTCAGGCTCCACCTGTAGAAGAAACTCCTCCTTCAGCTCCTATCCAGGCTTCCAAGGAGATTGACTACGATCTTGGAGAGGAAGAAATGGGCCGCATATTCGATGACGAAAAGACATCTTCCGCGAATGAAGAATACTTCAATCACTTGGTGGAAAGCAAAGGTACTGTAGACCTCCTATTTTAATTCAAGAATCTTTCCAGAAAATGGGGTTTTGGGGTTTTGGGGTTTTGGGGTTTTGGGGTTTTGGGGTTTTGGGG